TCTGGCCCAGTTGTTCTTGAGAAGAAGATTTTTAAAGATTTTTCCTATATATTTCAATGTAAAACTTGGATTCCCTATTGTGGCTCCGCCCTACCCCCGGGGATCATGATTTGAACAATTTAGAATCTACACTACCCGAGGATGCTTCCACTTAAGTTTCAGCTTTTCTGGCCCAGTTGTTCTTGAGAAGAAGATTTTTAAAGATTTTTCCTATATATTTCAATGTAAAACTTGGATTACCTATTGTGGCTTCGCCCTACCCCCGGAGGTCATGATTTGAACAATTTAGAATCTACACTACTTGAGGATGCTTCCAATAAGTTTCAGTTTTTCTGGCCCAGTTGTTCTTGAGAAGAAGATTTTTAAAGATTTTTCCTATATATTTCAATGTAAAACTTGGATTACCTATTGTGGCCCCGCCCTACCCCCGGGGATCATGATTTGAACAATTTGCAATCTACGCTACCCCAGGATGCTTCCACATGAGTTTTAGCTTTTCTAGCCGAGTGGTTCTTGAGAAGAAGATTTTTAAAGATTTTTCTTATATATTTCAATGTAAAACTTGGATTCCCTATTGTGGCCCCGCCCTACCCCAAGGGGGTCATGATTTGAACAATTTACAATCTTTACTACCCCAGGATGCTTCCACTTAAGTTTCAGCTTTTCTGGCCCAGTGGTTCTTGTGAAGAAGATTTTTAAAGGTTTTTCCTATATATTTCAAAGTAAAACTTGGATTCCCTATTGTGGCTCCGCTCTACCTCCGGGGATCATGATTTGAACAATTTAGAATCTACACTACTTGAGGATGCTTCCAATAAGTTTCAGCTTTTCTGGCCCAGTGGTTCTTGAGAAGAAGATTTTTAAAGATTTTTATGCCCCCGGATCGAAAGATCCCGGGGGTATATTGTTTTTGTCCTGTCTGTCTGTTTGTCTGTTTATCTGTTTGTTTGTCTGTTTGTCTGTCTGTCTGTTGTCAACTTTAACCTTGCCCATAAATTTGGATTGGTTGGAGCTATGACTTTCATATTTCACATGTGTATTCCTTGTGACAAGACCTTTCTTTGGGTACCATCATATTTGACCTTGACCTTGGAGTTTGACCCTTTTGCAAAATTTTATGAGACTTTAACCTTGGCCATAACTTCTGAACAGTTGGAGCTTGGGGTTTCAAACTTCACATGTGTATTCTTTGTGACAATGCCTTCTTTTGGATACCAACAACTTTGACCTTTTGACCTTGACCTTGGACTTTGACCTACTTTTGAAAAACTTTAACCATGGCCATAACTTTTGAACAGTTGGTGCTAAGGGTTTCAAACTTCACATGTGTATTCCTTGTGACAAGACCTTCCTCTCGATATCAACCACTTTGACCCTTTTGACCTTGACCTAGGAATTTGACCTACTTTTGAAAAACTTTAACCTTGGCCATAACTTTTGAATGGTTGATGCTAGGGCTTTCTTACTTCACATATGTAATCCTTGTGACAAGATCTTCCTTTGGATACCAATCACTTTGACCTTGACCTTGACGTTTGACTTTTATTTAAAAAACTTTAACCTTCACCATAACTTTTGAACAGTTGTATCTAGGTCTTTCAAATTTCACAGGTGTTTTCCTCGAGACAAGATCTTTCTTTGGGTATCAACATTTTTTATCTTTTGGCCTGGATTTTGACTTGCATTTGAGAAACTTTAACCTTCGACATAAGCTGCCATACGGGGGCATCAGTGTTTCACAAACACATCTTGTTCTTATATATTTCAATGTAAAACTTGGATTCCCTTTTGTGGCCCCGCCCTACCCCCGGGGATCATGATTTGAACAATTTGCAATCTTTACTACCCCAGGATGCTTCCACTTAAGTTTCAGCTTTTCTGGCCCAGTGGTTCTTGAGAAGAAGATTTTTAAAGAATTTTCCTATATATTTCAATGTAAAACTTGGATTCCCTATTGTGGCCCCGCCCTACCCCCGGGGGTCATGATTTTAACAATTTAGAATTAACACTACTAGAGGATGCTTCCACATTAGTTTCAGCTTTTCTGGTCCAGTGATTCTTGAGAAGAAATTTTTTTAATGACCCCACCCTATATTTGTCTTTTCTTGATTACCTCCCCTTGTAAGGGGACTTGGCCCTTTATTTTAACAATTTAAACTCCCCTTTGCCCAAGGATACTTTGTACCAAGATTGGTTAAAATTGGCCCAGTGGTTCTTGAGAAGAAGTTGAAAATGTGAAAAGTTTACAGACGGACGGACGACGGACAACGGGTGATCAGAAAAGCTCACTTGAGCTTTCAGCTCAGGTGAGCTAAAAAAGTGGATTCGTTGAGGACATGTTTAAGATGCAGCAGTAGTTCCCGAAACGAATATTGATCTAGATCTTTCATGAAAATTTAAAATCTTGAAAACGGTCAAGAAAAAAAAATTTTGATACATAATTCTGTAAAATGTCAAACAAATCAAAAATATTAAATTATGAAAAATATTTTATTTGATTATAGTGATGTATTCAAATGTGCAAGAGAGGCCGGTTGTGAAGTTATTTAAGAGATATTGTCTCGTATGTAATTTAAAAAAGTGTTTCTTGTGAATTTATAGTCCCGAATCAGAGCATAAGTTTACGGGTAAATCTTTTAAATGATATGCACGTAGAAGTAGTTCAGAATATTTATTTTATAAAGTTTGATTACTAAACGAAATACTGGGAAAGGGCTTCTATACCTCTTTTGCAAAACTTAAAGACCATTTGCTCTCTGCTTTAAAATCCAATATTACACCGCTGGAGTCGAGGGGACAAACTTATGCTTCGGCTTGCAAAATCAGTGTTTCTTGTAATGTTTTGATTTTGGTTTTGGCTTTTTCCTCCTTTTTTCCCTTTGAAGAACTATATTCGATTCAAATACTCCCAAAATGGTACGTGGAACCTATCAATAACATTAATTTTAGAATTTTCTCACACATTCCATGTAAAAAAGGATCGATTCATAGAAAAAAAAACACTGGGCCATTAGAGAGCAAACAAATTATCAAATCACTAAAGGTAGCCTAATATACATTTAAAATTCGTGAACAAACGGGCACCGCTTCGCCGAGAGAGAGTGTCGAAACATGGAATCTTAACGTTACGGGGTTTTTTTTGAGTGACTAATTTTACAATTTCCTATGAGTTAAAATGTTGGGTTGAGACTCAATGATTTTAATTATATATATTAAGATTTCATACTAAATTTAACAATTCTTGAGTCGAAAACACTCTATTTCCATGAGGAACTTTCATATAAACTTTTAGCCAAAATATTGTCGATATGATTTAAGCATTGATAAAAGAGGGTAAATCCCACTCTAAGAAAAAAAAGAGGGATAAATTTCGGTCCAGTGTGAGATTTCCCCTTAGGGGAAAATTATACTCTAGAGTACAGTTTCCAGGGGAAAAGCTGGCTATGGAGGATTTAAATCCTACTCTACAACGCCGTTAATGGGTTATGGGAAATCTTACATTGGTGATTGTCAAATGGTCAATTTAATAGAAAATGAAATATTGTTATAGCACATAAAAGATTTTCAATACACACACATTATAATTATCAGGAAAGATTAAGGAGATTTTATAGTGATGGGGTGTTGGTCCGTACGTCCGTAAAACTTGGGGGTACTCATCGATCTCTTATCCGACACTCCTTTTATACCACTGAATATTAATTATTACATGGTACCATTTTGCACCTCTTATTTTATGTTTTAATCTGACACATATTTGGGGTTTCCCATAGCAAAACATGGACATGCCGTTCTTTCTATAATATTGGGGGCACCCATCTCCTCTCCGCAACTCCTCCTATACCATGCACTGAATAAAATCTAATGAGACTCGCCTAATCTTTCTTACACGGTGCCATTGCATCTCCTCCTATTTTCCGTTTCGATTGGACACATATTTGGGGTTTTTCCATAGGGAAAAAATGGACACTGCCATTATACTTATATGGGAGCGGGCTAGCTATCATTTTGTGAACTCAGTGCTCACAGTACCTCTTATTGCACCCCCCCCCCCCCCGTTTGAAAAGTGGGGAATGTATAATGATGGGTGTGTCCATCCTTTCGTCCATACGTCTAGTTGTACGTCCTTCCCTACTTCTTCCGTACGTCTGTAACACTCGGGGGTACCCATCTCGTTTCCACAACTTCTCCTGTACCACTGAATAAAATTGAATGAGATTTGCATTGAACCTTTAATTACATAAGTGCCATTGTGCAACTCCCATTTTACGTTTTGATCGGACAGATATTTGGTGTTTTTCATTCTTTCTATAGCATCGGGGGTATCCATCTCTCACTCCTCCTTGTACCAGATCCCACCTCTGGAATTCCCAGGGGTCCTTGTTTTGTTTTATACCCTGTTCACTGAAAAAATTGTATTGTTCGTATGTTTGTTTTGTTTGTTTGTTTGTTTGTTTTTTTTAGATCGATCACTATTCGTTATCTTCACCTATTTCATTTGACAGAATCTTTATTACGTAGTCAGTCTGATTAAAACCACTCCCCTTCTTCTCAAGAGTAAGGAAAAGGCCGGGGTGGTTTTAATCAGATTAACAAATTGTCATTTTGCACCTCCAGTTTCGATTAATTGGACAGGTATTTGGGATTTCAAATACTGGGCATAGCAAAAAAATGGACTTTGTCATTATACTTAGTCATGAACGGGGATATCATTTGTGAGCTCAGTGTTCACTACTTCTAGTTTTATTAGTTTTCTTTTATAAATTCTTCTAGCACAATGTACTTCTTTACAATGTATTCCATATGAAAAATCCAAAACATAACGTTAAATAAACATTTTGCTAAAACAAAAAAAATATATTGCTCAATCGAATATGATTGTTTGTTGCACATATCATCATAGGCATTGTTTTGCTTTCAAAAATTGACATTCCGGGATGTATAAACGGTTTCGAGTTGCAATTTAGAAACAAAAACATTTTCATAACCTCAATTTCGTCTCCACGAACATCCGGGTCTCTTGTGCGTGAATTCGATTGCGCAGTGAATAATTTGTGTCATCGAGTATTTTCAAGGGGGATCCCAAGTTGTAATTTTATTTACAGAGTAAGTATATCAATCATAAATGAGAGTTTTTTTCTATGGAAAACGTTTATGTAGACTTGTGTCATTTTAGTTCGTTGGCAGATTGGTTTCTAAGAGTAGAATGGACTGTGGTAGAAACGCCCGAAATAACTTTACGTCGGACATTTTCCCCTGTAGAATATGTCTACTTTTTATCGACCAGTACATGTAGACCATATTAAAACGCTCAAATAATTTACTAAATTTTTATTGTACTTAGATATAGAATTTATGTTTGCTTTTAAGTGGATAATGAATTGAATTTGGAAAATTGCCAAATAAATTGTCTATACATATATTCTTTGGCATTACATATTCATAAAACTTAAACATCTTGGACAGTAACCGACAAGATCTTAATGGTAAATTAGTCGTAATTACAATGATTTTCATTTGTTTTTGAGCTTCTTTGTTCTTGGAATTGAAGTTAATGGATGAAAAAGTAAGCCATTGACATATTGAATGGCAATAATACATAGATACAGATAACACTTACAATAGTCAATATAAATTAGATAACAGTGATATTTTGTTATGTTTAGCATTGATTTGAATAATTGTTGAAAAGTAGACCTCAAGCTTTAGCTGACCTAAACCATCAATAACTTCCAAGAGCTAATAGAAAGACATCAAATGAAGCATTAAATAATTTTCTTTCAACTGTAAATGCTGATTGTAAGATGTTAACTTCTTGTTTATGATAAAAGTAAATTACACTTGCTAAAAACATTTCAATTCATTGTTCACTTGAGGAACATTGTGCAGTTTAAAAAGACTAGTGTTTTTTAGCCTTGATGATAAAGAAGATTCATATAATTATTTTGTATAACGGGTATTTTGTTGGATCAGTGTGTAGCAGTTTAAAATTTTCTCTTTGACCAGATATTTAAGAGCTTAAGTACAATTGCCACTATTCATCAGTCGTCACTCGCTGTGCTTGCTATAATTATATAACAGGAACAATAATTATGTTTTAACCATTTTCGTCGTATGTGGGAATTTTTTAAATTGATTTGTTTGGTTGCAGAACTACAAAGTCCTAGCAGAAATGTCTTCAGAAGAACCAGTCGAGGTGAATATGACATAGATGTTTATGTTGAAAAGTAGTCAGTGGTCAGAGATTTATAAGAAAAGTTTAATGAGCGTTATACTTGATATGCAACTACACAGGGATTATCTAAGTTTTTGGGGGAAGCACCCTTTTTGGAGAAGTGAAGAATCCTCATTGTGCAAAAATATTTTTCACACTACATTTACTAGTTTTAAAACAAACTTGACATTAGTCATACAAAAAATTGCCAAAAATATAGGAGAAAATGGGTTATTCAAGGAGGGGTATTCTCTTGGGGAAAAATACTTAATATTGGTGGTAAATATGTCTTGGATAAGTCCCTGATAAATAAAATGTTTGTTAAAATAAGTCAGAAGACCTTTACCGGTGTGATTTTATCATGACCCTAGCTCACAGATTTGTACACTTAATTATTGGGGAAAACTTAGATGTTAAGTATAATAAATATGCAGCAAATAGCAGCATCATTCATTTTGTTTTTATTTTTCTGCATTTCAGTGTCCATTGTGTATGGAACCATTGGAAATTGATGACATCAATTTCTTCCCCTGCACATGTGGATATCAGGTATGTTGATTTGATATGAAGACAAATTACAGTACAAAAACCGCTACATGAAAATCATTTTAGTTAATAATATGAAATTCTTTTGGTCAGATTTGCAGATTTTGTTGGCACAGAATACGAACAGATGAGAATGGATTGTGTCCTGCTTGCAGAAAAGTATACCATTTACTCTTGTATTACATTCACTTTATTGCAACACTTGTTTAATGAAATACTCTAGGAAGTATGAATTTAATGTAAAAGAAAAAAAAATAGAAAAAGATTGCATCTATAGAGAGTCGTCATTGTACAGTGTACACTGTCTAATCTAACACCTGCGCAGTCCGTTTCACTTTGAATTCCAACCTATATTTTCAATCCCCTATTTACTATTCTCCTTTTTCTTTACACTGTATAATCTGTCACCCTGTCTATTTCAAACACAAAATAAGTCTCTCAGTGAATGTTGGGTTAGACTGGTTTCACTGTATATGTATTTGTTGTTGTTTTTTGTTTGTTTGTTTGCACGTTCATTTTTTTAAAAAAATAAAGTTCTCTTTATTTGTCTTATTTTCAGCAATACCCTGAGGATCCTGCAGAGTTTAAACCTTTGACAGAGGATGAGTAAGTTATTTATAGTTCAGAATGTCTGTCTTAACTCCTATTTCCAGTGTATATCTTATTGTCTGACTTATTACCATTACACACAGGATTAATATTCTGCTAAAGCTGTAGTTTTGGAAATGATGGGGTTTGGTCAGATTAGGAAATGATTTTGGAAATCTGTTAGTGCAAAATTTTTGAAAAATCTGTAATTTTAAAACAAGTACTAGGAATTGCCAGAATTTACAGGTACAATGTTAGTATAGGCCACTGTGAATAATTCTTGTGTAAATTTTTCAGACTACAAAGGATTAGAAAAGAAAGAAGACAGAAGGATCTGCAAAGAAAGCAAAAGGCTGCCGAGAACAGGAAACACCTAGCTAATGTCAGGTAAGAGCAGGCAACAGGTGAAAGATAAAAAGGAAAAATATACAGAGTAGGGTAATGATAATTTGATGTTTTGTCACTTGATTCAATGGTGTACAGTATATTTAGGGGAAAAAAAAAAAACCGTGAGCAAACCTTAATTTTGTTCAGATATGATCAAGTCTTAAGTCTAGCAGACATGCAGGATGAGAGAGATATACATATTGTTTTAGTAATTCATGTTTTGCATTGTGTAATTTTGCTAATACTCCTTCAGACTGAATGTCATGCATTATGAAAATTTATATGCACAATCTCTGAATTGAATGTTTAGCACCAAAACCAAAAAATAATTATTTAGTGCATTTGTTTACACATTAAACTTGTGAAAAGTATTCTTGTAATGTTCTTAAAATTTATGCTTCTGTTATTATGAATAATTAAGTCTGATCTGAATCATTCAGGTGTGATTATGTATAAACAAATTAAAAATACCTGGCTCATAAATTAATGAAAAATAGCCATCAGAAGATTCTGATTAAAATTAACTGTTAGAACCCAAAATCATTAAAGTGACGTTAATATTACATAGGCAATCATATGCTCTGATTTGTTTCTTTGATATATGAAAGTTTGCCATATAATTCAAAAGAAAAATGACTGTGTAATGTACAATCTAATTAAAATTAGGTGTTCCGAATCCGCTATCGCTTCTCAAACATCTAACAACATCCCATTCGGGGTCACATAAGAGCGACCTTTCGATTACCCAATGAAATCGCCGTCGTCGAAATCTTGGCTTATAGTTCGGATGCGTTTCTTTTTTTACTGCAAAACCTAAACGCCCGAAGGGTTTCGTAGTAAACAAAATATACATGGTAATGACCGTGCTATATATGAATGTGACGTGCGGGATATATAGTAGTTTGTGCATTTTCGTTTGCGTTATTCAGGTAAGAATGCCAGATTGGCGGACTATACGTTCAATTTATACCAACATTACTTTAATCCAACGTAAGACAGTCTACTGAGCATCAAAAATATAGCCGTGGAACTAATTTTAGAATTGAGTACAGAAGGTTGAATCTGATTGGCCAAAATTTTTATGTTTATTCATAATCGAAAGGTCGCTCTGACATGAACCCGAATGGGATGTTGTTAGATGTTTGAGAAGCGGTAGCGGATTCGGAACATCTAATTTTAATTAGATTGTGTAATGTATTAAGTAATACTGTATCAACCTCATTCTATAGAAACATAAGTGAAGAGATGAAAAAAAAACCCATTGCTTCATACCATCTATTTTGTAGTTAGTTTACAATAATTCCATGTTTTGTTTTGATTTTCAGAGTGGTACAGAAAAACTTAGTGTTTGTTGTTGGTCTATCCAAAAAGTTAGCAGATCCAGAAACACTAAAGAAACAAGAGTACTTTGGGAAGTTTGGGAAAATTCATAAAGTTGTGATAAATCAAAGTACTTCGTATGCAGGATCCCAGGTTTGTTGTTTAAAAACATCTAGTAAAAAACACTACTGTGTAAAAACAACACTAAAACAGTATTTTAGAGTTCATAGATAATATTATTTCTTCTTATTTAATCATCAATGGTACATGTATTCAACCACAAAATTACACTCTTATTATGTATTTATTTTAAAAACAGGGTCCAAGTGCCAGTGCATATGTAACTTATAATCGCTGTGATGATGCGCTTAAGGCCATTTTAGCAGTTAATAATGTTCACGTAGATGGAAGGACATTGAAAGCATCACTTGGGACAACCAAATACTGTAGTCATTTTTTGAGAGGTGCTCAATGCCAAAAACAGGTTAATGTTTACTTTCATATATGAGCAGGTCTTGGTTTAATTTTTACTGGATTATGCAGTAAATTTTGTCCAAAATATCAAGACTGACATAAATGTAAATGATATGAGGAAGTGTGCCTCAGTCTTGATTTTGTTGTTGATCTTGCGTTGTGGTCTTTGATTATAGAGAAATGAAACTGAAGTTTTGAAGTGTTAATGGTGCTCAATTAACATAATGTTATTTTATGTAAGCTTTTCATTGAAAACATACATTTGTTTCTTTCAAAACGTTTAAATGAATTCCAAAATATCCTATGCTGTGTTCATGAATGTTGAAGTATTCCATAACATTTCCCCCCACTATTTTAGGATTGTATGTATTTGCATGAATTAGGAGAGGAAGCAGCAAGTTTTACCAAAGAAGAAATGCAAATGGGGTAAAACAAAAATCATTGTTTATCCGTAATGGTTGTAAAAATTGATAAAAAAAAATGAAAAGCTCAATATGAGCCTATGAAAATGACATGCTAACAACCAACAGTGGCCAAACTAAAATGTAAAAAATTGATATGAAATTCATATACATGTATGTACTTTGAATAGTAACATCTGATGCATGTATATTTATTTTTTAAGAAAGAGCTTTTGGGATTTAATTTGTGCAATATTGCTTTAAATTTCCCAAAAATGGTACATGTAGATCTATATATAAATGAGCAAAAAGCTGTTCAATTTTATTTCAACAATTTATTTTTTTTTTTTTAAGTAAACATCAAGAGTATGAACAAAAATTACTGGAGCAGTATATGAATTCACAGAATTTAGCAAACAGCCAATTGAGTAGCAGTAAATCTATTCCTATACAGTAAGTACTTTATCATCAGATTCAGCAGTAAACTGTTGCAAAATTGTTATTTGCAGGGTAATGAATTTGAATAATTTCTTTTATACAGGAAGAAAACATCATCTCCAATAACAGTTACCACACCCTCAGAAACTCCTCCTACACCCACACAAACACACTCCCCACAGAGTGTAACTCCGCCTACCAATTCAACTCCTCCCAACACATCCAACAGAGAGGCGTGGCCCTGTCTACAGCAAGGCAAAATAGACAACAATCGACCCTCCAACCATAAACCTGACACGATTAAACCCAACCCTAGACTTATAACAGACTCAGAAAACAGGTGAGGATTGGAATTCAGGTTTTTACACTAGGATCATATTTCTATTCATAGATCTCAAAGATACTCACTTTGGCAATTTTTTTATGTGGTTATTTATGACATTATGTCACTTCATTAGGTCATTACTTGCAAGCACTGCTTTATCTTTCAAGTTATGTTTTCTTATGGTTAGATGACAATTATTTGGATTTAGCTAAGAGATTGCTTGTTCATAGCTTAAATTAATACAAAATGTTACATTCATTGTAGTTCTTCACAAAAGCCAACAGATCCTCCAGTGTCCCCATCAGTACCTCCCTTTAAACCCCCTCCCAGACTACCCCTGGGAGTGGCACTGAAACCATTTGAGAATCCAGCTACTAGTCTTTCACTCTTTAGCGGAAATGGTTTTCACAGAAATCAGAAAATCCCAGTGCCAACACCCACAGGTATTTTAATACATGATTTGAATGAAAGAAAGGATTTTTCAAAAAAATAAAATAATTCTATTTCAGAACTCTCAAACAGATTTAGGAGGGAAGCTTTTTTTTTTGCACATGTTAAAATTTATACAACTGATTTGTATTACTCAGAAATTTGGGTTGATAGTAGAAGAAATTAATACATAAATGCCATGATAGTTGTTAATACTTAATCAAGAGATTTATAGAAAGATCCCTCCTTTCAATGACAAAGTACATTTACAAAGAAAAAAAATTATATGAATCATTCTTTTATAAAATTTTATGTTCAGTCCAATCCTATCTACAGATAGGTCACGTGTTATATGTTCTTGCAAATGTGACTATTTCAATTTAGTGAAAAAGTATCTATATTCTTTTCCACAACAGCCAAGAGTTCTGTAGCATATTATAAATATTGGTATTATTAATATTTCAGAAGTTCCAGATGTTCCCAGTACAGAAATAGCTGACTCAATCCCAGTGTCCAGTTGTGAAGATTGGCAAGCAGCATTTGGATTCAGTTCCAAATCTAGAGATATCCAGGATGATGACTTAGGTTAGTAATTACAGTCATTATGTGTACATGTATATTAAAAATAAAGCATGGTCGAAGATTTCAATGATTTATTACACTGTTAATCTATCCTTCTAGGTTTTGATCCTTGGGACGAATCTTCCAAAGGCCTAGCTGATTTGTTAGAAAAGGAGAGCTCTTCACAATCATCACAGCCCCAAAGAACAAGTTTTTCTCAGCCAAATCCACAAAACTTACCCCCAGGTAAACTTCTTACATGTAGTTTGATTTCATTTTTTTTTGTTTTTTTTTTTTTTTGTTTTAGATAAGTTGGGGAATATTGTGTATTTTTACATTTTGTTCATATCACTTATGCACATGCAATTGTATGTAAATGAATTGTTTTTAGCTTACATGGTATCTTTACATCTTGAATGTACTGTAGTCTTTTAAGGGGTATTTTATGCATGCAGTCCTGTACACTTTATATATAAGAACAATAATCTCACATCACAGTACTCAAATTTTCCCTGAAATTTTCGATAGGTTTTTCACTTAGCCATATACAGCAACAACAGCAACAACATGCACAGCACCCAGCATTCTTAAGAAAAGGTGGGTTAAGTACTCAGTGGGCCTATACGGGCCAAACTTCAGGTATTATAAACAATAAATAACGCCACTCCAGAAGGTTGTTGTACATAACTTTATCGGTAACATTCATATTAAGGAATCAAGACACAGAAATACATCTCAGTTAATAGGATTTTCCTTGTCAAGTTTTTCTGTCTCTAAAACTTTTCTTCTGTCTCGTATTTTGATTTTATTTACATTTTCCAATGTTTGTGAAAACAACCCAAATGAACTGAGTTGCTGAAGACAAGTGTAATATGATTTTGATTATAGATCTGGTTGGAAGTCGTATGATGAATTTTCTACAACCACCTCCTATGTACAAAAGTTTTAATTCAGAAACACAAGAAAGTCAAAAAGTTCAAAATCAGGTATGTGCTACATCATAGAATCAAACCCTATCTGATATTTTTATTTCTTTCAATACTGTGTAAAATTGGTTAGAGGTTTTTCCATTTGGTCACATGGAAATTTCCAGAAAAAAGGTATTTTATAAAAATTAAATATTCAATTAAAGTGAATCAGTATTGCAGAGACTAGAAAATATTTTACACATAAGAAAGTGGCATATAAATTTCTCTCATGAATAATTTGTCATTAGCAATATCAATATAGACTATCATGGTGAGAATTTTATCAATTCCCTCTGTTAAGGTTCAGATTGCTTTTCTTATGGGAATACCTTAAATAAGTCATAACCAAATTTATAAGATATTTGCATTTTTTTTTCTGTTGTACACAGAATGATGTATTCAGCACAAAAGATTGGCAAGATGGACTTCGGGCATTATTACCAAATATCAACATCAGCTTTGGTGCTCCTCCCACAAACCCTGCCACCAAATCTAATCATCAACCACAGAAAAGTAAGGCTTCACTCTAACCAACCATTACAAGAACAGACAGATCTGGGGCAGATACATGTACATGTATCTATATACCATGTAGTGGATTTCTGTTGTACCAATCCCAGTAGATTTTTTCAGCACACTGTTGTATCTTCTAAATACTGGTGTAGATTTCTACCTGTATTGCCACTGTATTGTGAAAACAATAATGAAACAAAAGTCTACATGCTATTCAGATTTAAAACCCTAGATTTGGTGACACACTACGTGTCTCTGTTCCCATTCATCCCTAGTATCATTCTGACGAGTTTTTCTAAGTTCTAATCTTGTCCGCTTTACAGAATGGGGGGTTTCTACGCCATCACAAAGTTGGATGACAAATGACCCAGCGATTCTTTCTTCAGGATCTCTCGGTGGGTACATCTATCATCAGAGAGTCATTCAATCATCTTGCTTGTCATCTTCAAAGCATAATCTGAACTCATTGTACATTCATTCATGCAAAATCAACATCCAAAAGACAATGCATTGAAACCAGTTTTAGAATTTTTAAGTTGGGATTTCAAATACATGTACATGTATTGTTAAAACTACACATTTACGTGAATTTTTGTGCAGTAAAGTCACTGTACTCCTTCGTATTCATTTATAAGACTAGGTAATTAGACAACCATATACAGTACAGTGGCAGAATTTGAAAATGATCTACATATACATTATGAACTGTGTCTCCCAGAACTCTTATCTCAATTTTCAATGGAAGACTGCTTCTCAGTGTATGCATTTACATAAGGTTATATGGATTTATTATTCTGATTATGAATTGTGAATTTTTTTCAAGCCTAAACTGCTTTTAATATTTTCCCTCTTAAATGGCACAGCTTTTTTTTTGTGTGTGTGCATTTTCCTATGTTTCCATGTAGTTTGTAAGACAATTCAAGTTTGAGGGTGTCAGGTTGTTAGGTTAGCTGCAGAACTGTAGCTCTCTGCTTGAGAAAATTCGGACAGACAAAGCAGAGGGCTACAGATCCAAGCGTTGTAAAAACCTTCGATTTACGCCAGCGCTGTTTTGTCGATCGCTTTGGCTATTATTTCTTGTATTTAATGCTTTCCCCTGCTTTAAAAGTGGTATCCAATAATTATCCATATATTTTACTCCTATTCCTGATACTTTATTTACCTTTCAACTAGGGATGGGTATCGGCAAAAATTTCGTATCGTGATATATCACGATTTTTTCTCAAGAATATAACGATAAATCGTGATATCTTTACACACAAATTTTACAACAATTTCAAAGGAATTTCCAAATTTTTTCTTAAAAATACGCTATAAAAACATAACTTCACTTTTTAAATTTTCCTTATTTTATATAAAGCATTTTTGGATGCCGTTGTTTAACTGTTTCAACATTTTTTTTTACACTTCCTGTAATTATCATTCAATAGTTTGAACAAATAAATGAATAATTTTCGGAATTTATAGTTATGTACCAAATACCGGTATTTTAGTCTCCGTATCACGATACATATCACGCAATAAAAAATCGCGATATACCGGTATACCGATAAAATCGCGCATCCCTACTTTCAACGGTCTCAAACAGCCCTATATAGTGTTGAAATGTCGGTTTAAAAAATTCCCATTCCGATGTTCATGTTATTTGGGATTGTGCGAAAAGAAGTAATTCAAAGAACATATACTTGTCAAGAAAATGTAAATAAAAATTTCAGGAGGTTTAAATATCACGTATATTGTCTATAAAGATTAGAATACAACATGTATGTAAAAAAGAAATGAGATAAATAAAACTCTGGCGTGTTGTTTTAGGATGACACCAACGTCAACGTTGGAATGCATTTTTTAAATATTCCAAAACCATATACGGCCGTCTGGAACTGTTGAAAGGTAAATAAAGTGTCAGGAATAGGAGTAAAATATATGGATAATTATTGGATACCACTTTTAAAGCAGGGGAAAGCATTAAATACAAGAAATAATAGCCGAAGCGAGCGACAAAAAAGCGGCGGCATAAATCGAAGGTTTTTACAATGCTTGGATCTGTAGCTCTCTGCTTTGTCTGTCCGAATTTTCTCAAGCAGAGAGCTACAGTTCTGCAGCTAGTTGTTAGGTGAGCTAATAATGTATCACAGAATTTCATTGAGGGAAAAAAATATCAAGTCTTTTATTCCTATATATCTGCTTTGGTTTTTTTTTTTTTTTGGGGGGGGGGGGGGGGGGCAAGGATTGTTAACACTTCTCTATGTCATGTTCTTTCACAGAAATGCTCAAGTTACATTATTGGCTCATCTTTAACCAATTAATAAGTTATACAATTGATTTTAGCTGCGAAATTGGGGAAAAAGCATCCTTTGATTAAATTTTGATCAAAATAAGTGTGATATGCTTCTCAAAATAGGGGCTTCTATTATATAATCGGAATAAAGAGAGAAAAAACCTTCCATGTTAAACAGATGTGTTGTACATGTAGTAGGGGAGGAGTATGCTACAAATCAGATATAGACCAACAATTCTATCTGATTATACCCACAATTCTGTCTGAAATAAACCCTAGACCCAATCTGTCTGGATTAGACCCACAATCCTGTGTGTCTGGATTAGAACCACAGTTCTGTCTGGAATAAACCCACGATCCTGTCTGTCTGGATTAGAACCACAGTTCTGTCTGGAATAAACCCTCAATCCTATCTGTCTGGATTAGAATCATAATCCTGTCATGAATAAACCCACAGGCCTATCTGTCTGGATTAGAACCATAATCCTGTCTGGAAAAACCCCATAATCCTATCTGTCTGGAATAGACCCACAATTTAATTTGTCTGATGTAAACATGCAATCCTATCTGCCTGGATCAGAACCAGAATCCTTTCTGTCTGGATTAGATCTTAATCCTACTATGGTATGTCTGGGCTAGGCCCACATTGAAATACACCCAAAATCATATATGCCTGGAATACACCCATGAATAGTTGATAGAAAAACTGGTTGGGGTTAGAGATGGAAAACCTTGCATGTTTTTTTTTTTCATGTGGTATGCATATCTATTGTAGTATGGTTGCATTAGATTAAATGTTGTAAATTCACTCATTTAATGGAAATTTATTTTACATTACAGATATCCTTTAAAAATTGATGAGTTCTTGTTGTAGATACATGAAAAGCAGCAGTGTAATTTTGTTTTCTTTTACAGCAAACAATGGACTATCAGAAGGTGCCCCACATTGGTTAAAATCAATTCATCAACTGACAGAAGTGGAAAGCTCACCTTTCATGCAGCATTTTCCACCCAGACATTCGTGTAAGTCAAATTCCTGCTAAATTCTGTCTTCTAAGCTAGAAACCATAAAGGATAATTTCTGAGGTTGCCCATTGTGAAGGCTTTAATGCTGTTCCATCAAAACTACGTTTCTTTTTTTTATCTTAAGAATATCAGATTCTTGATTTTGTGTGAAGGAAAAACTGAAAATTTGATAGCTAACGTTTCAAAATTTGGTGATGTAGGGGGTATAAGGAATGACTGATTTCAAATGTCCAGAGTCTGCATTTCATACTTCAAATTCTACTTATTGTATGTACAATTTCAGATTCTGCTGGCTGGCCTACTACACAGAATCCACCACCAGGATTCCAATCTACAGTACATCCCACAACACAGCACCCAGAGCCACACAAAATCTCAGAAGGTATGCTCATACTATGTGTAAAACGTGACATTGATGGAAGGAAATTTGACTTCAGGGACCCGTTTTACAACAGAACTTACGACTAAGACCAAAATTTAATTCTGCTGATGACTTTCTACATTGAATTGAAAATGGCTTTCATCTTTTTTAAAAGGAATGTAGAAAGATAATTTTACACTGGCAATTTTAAACAGAATCATTAATATATTTGCAAAATTTTACAATCAACCTAAGTTTTTGGTCTTGGTCGTAAGTTCGTTCATAAAACAGGCCCAAAGATCCCAAACTCAAAATTTAAATCACTATGAAATTGAAACTAACATTATGAAAAGGGAAATAATTTTTAAAATTCCAAATTTAAAGTATTTTTTTAAGGTGTTTTCTTTAGAAAAACTTTTAAAGAATTCAGATTAACTGACAACTTGATTTTAATTCTGTTGATATACAAGAATACTGAAACCTAGGGTCTATTGTTGCTTTATTACATCACTGATTGGATTGATGTACTCACAAATTCATAAACTTTAAAATGCTACATGTGTATTTATTAGAATAAAGAAAATTGTTTTGATTATATTTACTATAATCATTAATTGTTTCAACAGATATCTACTGATTAAATTCATTCATTTTTGCTTTCAAACTAATGAAATACTGTTTTATTTAATTTTTTGTTCAAAGTTTGTGATAAACACTGTTATTGTTGTAGGTCTTCAGTAAGTCTAAAAAAAAAAACTGGATGCTTACAGAAATATCTCCCCTCCTGAGACTCATCTTTAACCTGTACACCTGTTTGAGACATCCATTGGAGAAAAACTAAATAGACACAGAGTATATAATAGGATATTGGTCAGCAGTAGAAGGGATTTTAACTTTATACTGTAACCTCAGATTTAGTCAGGGTAGTGTGAACGAGCAGTTGATTTTACTTTTGCCTCTGGTCGTCTTGCTGAATTCTAACATACTGGTACAATCACTGGATGTCAGATTAAATAAATAAGTACAATTTTATGCCTTTATACACTGCTGTTGTATGTGAACTTGCAGGTTTCGAACTATAAAGATCGCTTTAAGGGACAAGTTAAAAAGTATCTGATATCTCATATTTTGTGATAATTGTATGGTAATCATCTATGTGTGTTAATTTATTTTCTATTTCACTAGTTCATGATAGATTTATATACTTGTCGCCCTTGCCAGGACTTGACCAGAGGTAAATATCCAAGGTTTCTTCTCCAAAACAGCATTTAAATAAGTGCTCCCTTGTTTTAGTTGACATATACTATGTATTGGGCATTGACTGCCATTGTAAACACAGGCAAATGCTGAGGGGGTGTGTTGGAGGGGCAGCACAACTCAGCCTGGGTTTTAACATCAGACAGTATAACATTAAATGTTTTAAACAACTATATTGTTTTCACTTCATTTCATTTTTAGCTCACCTGACTTGAATGCTCAAGTGAACTTTCCTGATCAAAAGTCTATTATTTCCTGTGTAGCTTGTAACACGAGCTTTGATTGGTTACAAAGTCAGGTGTAAATTTCTGTACACCCAATATGAGCCAGGGGTAAAAAACTTGATGTCACAATGCATAGTTTTTCTATGATAAAAAGCAAGTAACATGACTTCATGATGCATTGTAGGACGTAGTAAATCTTGTCAATAGCTTGAAACACAGTTGATTGGACTTGCTTACAAAAAATGTATTTGAGTACATAGGAAATAAATTCGTTATCCAGATCCAATCAAGGGTGTACAGGGATTTATCCCGGGTTGTATTCCATACAACCTACGGCCTCAGGGTGTATGGAATAAAACCCGAGGTAAATCCCCGTACACCCTTGATTGGACCTGGATAACTAATATTGTCCGTCGTTTTTGTTGTTATTGGCTATTTAAAATTTTCACAATTTTATCTCCTTCTCCAGATACACTGGGTAAATTTCAACCATGCAAACTTGCACAGTGGTTCCTTGGGTAAAGGAGATTGAAGTCTGTTCAAATGAAGAGCTGTTATCTAACTCTTTTAAGGGGAGATAATTAAGAATTCAGAAAATTTTGTGATATTTTTAAAAACCACAGGACCAGAAAACATGAAACTTACACGAAAACATCCTGATGTAGTGTAGATTTAAGTTTGTTTATATATTAGAAAACTTCTAACAAATATTCTGCATGAAGAACAGCAGGGACATGATTATTAGCTCTTCTGAGCCAAAGGCTCAAAGAGCTAATGCTATGGCCATTTGTGCGGTGTGCGTAAACTTTTTAGAATATGGGCCATAACTCAAGAACCCCTTGGCCAATTATTGTCAAATTTGTCACAGGGTATCCTTGGCCCAAGGGCTCCCGTTTATACTAAAACTAGGGTTGTGACCCTTAAACAAGGGGAGATAATTAGGAAAATAGAAACAAAAGTACTGGTTGCTAAAAAATCTTCTTCTCAAGAACCACTGGGCAGATTATCACCAAACTTACACAAAAGGATGAGGATATGTTGTAGATTAAAATTTGCACGGGGAATTGCCCTTGGGCAAAGGGCGTGGTCTCAAAGTCACTTCAAAGTTGACCAAAAATTACATTTTATTAAAATGTTGATATTTTGCTTACTATAAGGACTAGGATCATCAAGTCTTGTCAGTTGATGCATCTAAGGACCTCATATCATGTCAACTCAAAAGTAGGTCACGGTGACCTACTTTTTAGCTCTTCTGAGCCAAAGGCTCAAAGAGCTAATGCTATGGCCATTTGTGCGGTGTGCGGTGTGCGTAAACTTTTTAGAATATGGGCCATAACTCAAGAACCCCTTGGCCAATTATTGTCAAATTTGTCACAGGGTATCCTTGGCCCAAGGGCTCCCTTTTATACTAAAACTGGGGTTGTGACCCTTTAACAAGGGGAGATAATTAGGAAAATAGAAACAAAAGTACTGGTTGCTAAAAAATCTTCTTCTCAAGAACCACTGGGCAGATTATCACCAAACTTACACAAAAGGATGAGGATATGTTGTAGATTAAAATTTGCACGGGGATTTACCCTGGGGCAAAGGGCGTGGTCTCAAGGTCACTTCAAAGTTGACCAAAAATTACATTTTATTAAAATGTTGATATTTTGCTTACTATAAGGACTAGGATCATCAAATCTTGTCAGTTGGTGCATCTAAGGACCTCATATCATGTTGACTCAAAAGTAGGTCACGGTGACCTACTTTTTAAATTTTGCGGCCATTCTTTTTCAAAATGATTTAGAGGCATATTTTGAACAATTTAAGGCCTATGATCATCAAACTTTGTCAGTTGATGCATCTTGGGTCCTCAAAGTACGTCAACTAAAAAGTAGGTCACCTTGACCTACTTTTTGAATTTTATGGCCAATCTTTTTTAAAACAATTAAGGTCATTAATTCGAATACGGGGAGGCTTAGAATCATTAAATCTTGTAAGATGATGCATCTTGGGGCCATAAAACATATTTATTAAAAAGTAGGTCACAGTGACCTACTTTTTGAATTTTGCAGGCATTCGATTTCAAAGCGTTTTAGAGGCATAATTTGGACATTTTAAGTCCTATGATCATAAAACTTTGTAAGTTGATGCATCTTGGGTCCTCAAAAAAGGTCAACTGAAAAGTAGGTCACCGTGACCTACTTTTCAATTTATATGACTATAATTAAATATTTCAGGTACTAATTGGCTTAGAATCATCAAAATTTGTCAGTTGATGCATCTTGGGTCTTCGGAGTAGGTCGACTAAAAAGTAGGTCACCGTGACCTACTTTTGAAAATTTATGGCTTTAATTAAATATTTCGGGTACTAATTGGCTTAGAATCATCAAACTTTGTCAGTTGATGCGTCATGGGTCTTCGGAGTAGGTCGACTAAAAAGTAGGTCACCGTGACCTACTTTCAGAAAATTTATGGCTTTAATAAAATATTTCGGGTACTAATTGGCTTAGAATCATAAAACTTTGTCAGTTTATGCGTCATGGGTCCTCGGAGTACAACAACTGAAAAGTAGGTCACAGTGACCTACTTTCAGAAAATTTATGGCTTTAATAAAATATTTCGGGTACTAATTGGCTCAGAATCATTAAACTTTGTCAGTTGATGCGTCTTGGGTCCTCGGAGTACAACAACTGAAAAGTAGGTCACCATGACCTACTTTTGAAATTTTATGGCTGTATTTAATATTTTCAGGAATTATTTGGCTTAGAATCGTCAAAATTTGTCAGTTGATGCATCTTTGGTCCTCGGAGTAGGTTGACTGAAAAGTAGGTCACGGTGACCTACTTTTGAAAATTTATGGCTTTAATTAAATATTACAGGTACTAATTGGCTTAGAATCATCAAACTTTGTCAGTTGATGCATCTTGGGTCCTTGGAGTAAAACAATTGAAAAGTAGGTCACTTTGACCTACTTATAAAATTTTATGATTATAATTTTAAAAAACATTTTAGGTATTAATTGGCTTAGAATCATCAAACTTAGTTGATGGATCCTCAGAGAATGACAAGTGATAAGTAGGTCACCATGACCAACTCTCAGGTTCTAATTGGCATAGAATCATCTGTTCTCAGAGTGTGAAATGGAATTTCAAGGGTTTATGTAAATATACAGGATACTTCGAAGCTTCAAATAGAAGTGATAGGTTGTACAGTTTATCAGAAGAGCGATTCAAGGCCCATGGGCCTCTTGTTAAATTGTGCGGCCATTCTTTTTCAAAATGATTTAGAGGCATATTTTGAACAATTTAAGACCTATGATCACCAAACTTTGTCAGTTGATGTATCTTGGGTCCGCGGAGTACGTCAACTAAAAAGTAGGTCACCTTGTCCTACTTTTTGAATTTTATGGCTAATCTTTTTCAAAACAACTTAGGTCATTAATTCGAATACTGAGAGGTTTAGAATCATTAAATCTTCTTGGGGCCATAAAACATATTTATTAAAAAGTAGGTCACAGTGACCTACTTTTTGAACTTTGCAGGCATTCGATTTCAAAGTGTTTTAGAGGCATAATTTGGACATTTTAAAGCCTATGATGATAAAACTTGTAAGTTGATGCATCTTGAGTTCTCGAAAAACGTCAACTGAAAAGTAGGTCACTGTGACCTACTTTTGAAATTTTATGGCTATATTTAAATATTTAGGGTACTATTTGGCTTAAAGTCATCAAAATTTGTCAGTTGATGTATCTTGGGTCCTCAGAGTAGGTCGACTGAAAAGTAGGTCCCATGACCTACTTTTCAATTTATATGACTATAATTAAATATTTCTGATACTAATTGGCCTAGAATCATCAAACTTTGTCAGTTGATGCATCTTAGATCTTCGGAGTAAAGTGGACTGAAAAGTAGGTCACTGTGACCTACTTTTCAATTTATATGACTATAATTGAATATTTCAGGTGCTAATTGGCTTAGAATCTTCAAACTTCGTCAGTTGATGCACCTTGGGTCTTCGGAGTAAGTCGACTGAAAAGTAGGTCACCTTGACCTACTTTTGAAATTTTATGATTGTATTTAATATTTTTCGGGTACTGTTTGGCTTTCAATCATCAAAATTTTGTCATTTGATGTATCTCGGGTCCTCGGAGTACAACAACTGAAAAGTAGGTCACGGTGACCTACTTTTCAATTTATATGGCTATAATTAAATATTTCGTGTACTAATTGGCCTTGAATCATTAATCTTTGTCAGTTGATGCATCTTGGGTCTTCGGAGTAGGTCGACTGAAAAGTAGGTCACTATGACCTACTTTTGAAAATTTATGGCTTTAATTAAATATTTCAGGTACTAATTGGCTTAGAATCATCAAACTTTGTCAGTTGATGCATCTTGGGTCCTCGGAGTACAACAACTGAAAAGTAAGTCACCGTGACCTAATTTTGAAAATTTATAGCTTTAATTAAATATTTCAGGTACTAATTGGCTTAGAATCATCAAAATTTGTCAGTAGATGCATCTTGGGTCCTAGGAGTACAACAACAGAAAAGAAGGTCACTGTGACCTACTTTTGAAATTTATTGCTTTATTTAAATATTTTTAGGTACTTATTGGCTTAGAATCACCAATCTTTGTCAGTTGATGCATCTTGGGTCCTCAAAGTCTGTCATCTGAAAAGTAGGTCACTGTGACCTACTTTTGAAATTTTATGGTTATAATTTTAAAAATATTTTAGGTATTAATTGGCTTAGAATCATCAAACTTAGTTGATGCATCTTTGGTCCTCAGAGAATGAAAAGTGATAAGTAGGTCATGATGATCTAATCTCAGGTACTAATTGGCTTAGAATCATCTTGGGTTCTCAGAGTGTTTCATCTAAAATGTAGGTCATGAAGACCTACCTTTGAATTTCAAGGCTTTATCTAAATATACAGGATACTTAGAGGCTTCAAATGGAAGTGATAGGTTGTACAGTTTATCAGAAGAGCAATTCAAGGCCCTTGGGCCTCTTGCTGATATTATTGCGAGCATTTTCAAAATTGTTAAAAATCACTCTAATTCTACACTAAAGTACTCAAAATGATAAAAGGATGCTGGAGTTCCTCATTGACAATTTTTTAGCTGGTCAGACACTAGGACCCCATTTTAAAAAACAACTTACGACTAAGACCAAAAAAAAAACAACTTATGACTAAGACCAATAACTTCAGCTTAATGTAAAATCTTGCAAAATTATTAATTCTAATTAAAAATACTTTATAAAAATATGTCTTAAAACGCCTTTTAAAAATGATAAATACCATCTTCAATTAATATAAAGAAGAGAATTATTCACAAAATTACATTTTGGTTTTAGTTGTAAGTTCTTTTGTAAAACGGGGCCCACAAGAGCTTACACAATAGTAATGTGTTTGCCATCCGTCTGTCTGTCCATCTGTAAACAAATTTTTCAAAATACTACTATACTACAGTTTTCTGATTTCAGTATAACTTGGCACACAAGTAGACTGCACTAAGATGAGCGGTGTTGCTATGGTTACTAAATATAGAAATTTCTGTAAATACTTTCAAAACTCTACTCCTCCTAGAGTTTTGGTCTGATTTCAAGTTAACTTGGCACACAAGAAGACTACACTAAGATACATAATTCGTTTTATCGGTTTTTGATTTCAATGAACGGTGTTGCCATTGTAATCTGATTAAAATCAGCTGTTCTGATACGTTCGTAAGCGGTAGCGTATCAGAACAGCTGATTTTAATCAGATTGTTGCCATTGTTACAAAAATAGAAAATTTGTGACATACTTTCAAAATGCCTCTCCTACAGTTTTGGTATGAGTTCAGTATAACTTGGTGCACAAGAAGATTACACTGAGATAATTATGTTTATCAGTTTTTGATTTTGGTGATATGTTGCCATGGTTACTAAAAATAGAAAATTCTGTGAAATAACTTTCAAAACACTACTCCTTCTACAGATTGGTCTGATTTAATATAACTTGGCATGCAAGTAGACTACACTGAGATACATAATTGTCTTTATCGTTTTTTGATTAAGATGAATGATGTTGCCTAGGTTACTAAAATTGAAATTTCTGTAAAATTCTTTTAAAAGGCTACTCCTACAGTTTCAGTCTGATTGCAATAAATCTTGCAACAAAAAGAGCCTAAACCAAGGATCATTATTCTGTTTATTGCTGTTGCAAAATTTCAAGTTCAAGTGCTACTTTTCTCTTCCTTTGCTATAAGTACAAGCCAGTAGAGCTACAGACTAGTCAGAGACTTCTGGTTCAAATTGTTTGAATCTCGATGGGCACAAATAGACTCTATTCACGCACGCGCTGAAGTTCATTTCGATAACGAGGCTGACCTGACAAAAAGCACAAGTACGAGCAGACGGTCCTGCGAAATCGAGCTCCTTTATTAGCGGACTTGTTTTTATATTCCTATGAAGTAGAATTTATTCAAAAACTTATACATGAGAAGAAGAATTCATGCCGTCTCCTTCAACTGGACATTCAGATACATGACAACGTTTTATCAATTAAGAATAGTTACTTCCATTCATATGTCTACTCAGTACATCCCAGTGAACTTGAAATAAAAGACACTACAGAGCCTGCCACATCTGTTTCATATTTTGATGTTTTACTGACTGTAGACAATAAGGGTCAACTAACAACTAAATTGTATGACAAACGAGATGACTTCAGCTTTTGTATCATCAACTTTCCGTATTTATGTATTAATATATTTTCCTGGATATGGTGTTTATGTCTCCCAACTTATTCGATTATTTAATAGAATGCTCCGAGTACGATCAGTTTCTAAACCGAGGCAAGATACCAACAGATAAGTTAGTGCTACAGGGATTTCAACAACATTCTTTTTTTAAAGTCAGCATTTTGTCAATTCTATGGTCATTATAATGACTTATTAACAAATATAACCTATCATTGCGTTGTATTTTGGCTGACATGTTTCATACCAATTGTTAGGCCTTTGTTTTTATACTATATTCGTCTACGGAATGTTCTGTTTACCTGATCAATACACAGGGCTCATGGCGGGTTTGACGGTCAACAGAGGATGCTTACTCTTTCCAGGCACCTGATCCCACCTCTGGAAATTTGGGGATTCCGTGGGTTTTTTTTGTCCTCTTCACATATTTGTATTGTTTGTAGATTTTTTTGAGATCGATCACTGTTCTTTATCTTCACCTTTTTCATTCAGGTAGTGCATATTCAAATTTGTTTAAATCATGACCCCTTGGGGAAGCTGATGGGGCAACAATAGGTGATGAACGCTTTCCAGGACAATGGTTAGTGATATTAATATTAGTATGCAAGCATCCTCAGGTAGTGCAGATTTAAGTTTGTTCAAATCAGTGCCCCTGGAGGGGGTCGGCCGGGTCCACAATAAGGTATCAAAGCTTTACACTGGAATATATAATATTATATAGAAAAATAATAATCCCAAGAACAGGAGGGCTACGATTCATATACATGTAATATGAAAGTATTCACAGGAAGTGCGGTTTAATTCATGCATTGATCATTAAGATCAGCAGGTATATGCTTGCTCATATTGAAGCTGAACACGACTCATATTTAGTCGTACTCCAATGATATTTTTCCGATATCCAGCACTGGGATATACACTTCGAATTAATTCTTACACCTGAATACTTTCTGGTAACCTACATGGAATGGGCAATACGTAGCTTGCACTGCCTTTGTTTACATTTTAATGCATTTTACGTGTATGTGTGTTTGTTTGTACTGCATTTACCTGTGCAACTTCGTCATATTTCTTTGATAACCTTTCTCCAGTCGTGAAAGAAGCATCCAGCAGTTAATTTGATCTCATCGGGTATTTTACATGTTCATTGCAGTGTAGGAAACGTCTACATAGGTGAAACATGGAAAGCTTATCACATTGAACCGTGACCAAGTGAACAGGTTATATCTAGGGGCTCTACAAATAATATGAATGTAGAGAAATATGGCGGAGAAAGACCTTTCATGAATCGTGTTCAGCTTTAATACGCAAGCATCCTTGGGAAGTGCTAATCAAAAGATCTGAATAGAAATCGTAAATGTTTACTTAGCATAAGTTTTCCCTTGTAAATTATTGATATATACCAGAAAATCATAAAAATAAGGACATTTTGAAATTTGAGAAAAAATCTGTATTCTGTAACTTTTAAGCGACTTTTGTCCCATCCTTCACTGAAAAGTTTACTTGTTTAAAACCGATATTAGCATCAGTATTAACATCATTTAATATCCATTGTCCGCCGAGTTACCCTGAAAGGGTTTACCGGACCCTTAGTCTGCGCTCTTCTTAAGAGTTTTTCATTTTAAGTTTTTCATCGCATGAAAGAAACAGCTGAGTGCGTCAAATTTCATGGTCTAACCCATGGAGCACATTAAGGATATAAAAATTGTGGCCGTGCTGGACTCTCAATTAAGTTACAATCTCTGTACAGACGAAATCGTTGACCATGCGGTACTCTTTTCACCATGTGAAAAACTGAGTCATCCCTTCCAGCTAAAAAAGAAAAAGAAAAATTTAAACTTTATGCGCGCAAAAGACGCATTATACAATGATCCGGCCTACTCTAACAATTTGTACTCCTCATTGATAAAGCAGTGTGATTTTAAGCTTTAACAGGCCCTCGGCTACATGTAGCTGCAATTCATCTGCCTCCCCCCCCCCAAAAAAAAGAAAATGAAAAGGCTATCCTTCCCTCAGATTTATCTGGATTCTAGCGTTTAGTTAGTCTGGAATTGATGTGCAAGTACAGCGAGAGGATAGGATTCGGAAAGGGAAGAGAGGCCAAGCCCCCTGTCGGAAAAGGATTCCTAGCTTAAAAAACCGTAAAAAATTACGATAAGAATTAACAAATAAGAACTGCGAATGATAGTATTGTTCTGCCGCCTACCTCCAAGTCAAATTTCAAATGTTAACATATTTGAATGATTTTTCATATAATATAGATATTTATGTGAAATTTCAAAAAAACATAACTTATTTGGGAAAACAAAGAGAGATAACTCTTTAAATTTGTTTTACACTATAGAAATCAACGGAAAACGGAAAATATTTTAACCCCCCCCCCCCCCCCCCCCCGTGAAACAAAAATTAATTCCTTTTTATAGGTTTTATGAATTGTTATTTCACAAATTCCTACAAAAGCTTTTGTTGTTTCACGGGGGGGGGGGGGGGGGAGGGGGGGCATATGTTTATAGACAAAAAACTGCAAAATTGGTCATTTTATTTATCACCAATTTCAATTGAAATTACAAATAAAATAAGGCCTTCAATCAATATTTATCTTGAGTTTTACATAAGTTAACATACGGAAAGATTTAAGGGTTATTTATCTATTCCAAGCGTTTTGAAAATCTAGCAATTTTTAAAGCCTGATTTCAATGGATAAAATTTTCAACCCCCCTTTTGAATAGAGTCGTAAATAAGAGCAATTAAGTTTTTGACACTGATTTTAAAATTATCAATCAATTAACAATGAACTCTTCTTTGCATTCAATCAGGTTTTAATGGCCAAACTACCATTTATATTGAATTAAATGGGTGCAAAATGTGGGCGGGAATCGAGAGTTAGCGTGCGTGGTTCTTTTATTATTTAACATTTGCAGGTATTCAATAATACAACATTATGTTTACACACACCCTCACGCACATCTCTCTCTCTCTCTCTCTCTATTCTACATTGGACTTAAAATACATCAAAAAACTTCCAAAGTGATACAATTAATTATGAAAAGTTACGTTCATCTGCACCCGACTTTTCCAAGTGACAGAACATTCATATTTTTCTATATCTGAAAAAATAGATTAAAAAATCCAAATAAATACAACTATAGTAATGCTTTTTTTAAAATCCCGCTTCTCTCATTACAATCGGCTAGGACCTAGAGCCTGGTGAATATTATACTCCTCAGTCGGCTAAATCATCGTATTGACCTCAAAACAGCAATAATTGTATAATGTTTCTACACTGAAGAGAATATAGATACGAAAAATTAATTCCGTCAGTCAATTTTAATTTAAGTTCAAAGCTGTTGTTATCTCTAATGTCAAATTGCTATCACTCTTATTCTAATTAAAATTTTATCCTTTGATCCGCTCACGTACACGTAAATCGCTAAAACAAAAGTGGTCTACGTGAGCGGATCAAATGGAACTTTTTTAATTAATTAGATTGCTATTACTCCCAGGGCTTTTGTTTTATTTGATTGATAGCACAAATACACAATATTCTCTGTACAGAGGTATTTATATGAATTAGATGAACGGTGACACCAACTGGTCACAAAAATTTGATAAAAGAATAAAACTTAATTTAATTGTCAGAAACTCTTCGTTATCCTAATTGTTTTTAAACGCTGACGTGTTATCAGTCTGTTGCCAAAAAGTGTTATGAACATTCCTACAAAGAGCATTATCTTAGTTCAATATACGTATACATGTACAGTGATTTATTTTTTGAAGTCAATGAAAATCAGGCAAGGAAAAAAGAATACCCATAGACACTAGATTGAAACATTTGACATTATATAGCCCCCCCCCCTCCCCAAACCGAGTTTTGTTTAACAATTCCGATTTGTTTAAATGTGTAACAGTTCCCATTTTTAAGAAAGCAAATGTACTCATCAAGTTAAAATTTGTTTAGAAAGTACCTACAATTTGTCCTGGAAATTTTGAATCTGTAGTAAGGATCTCCAGACAGCGGTAGAATACGAAGGCAGAGAATCCCGTCTATCCCTTTCTGTATGTTATTGGCCCTGCATGGCGGTTCAAAGTCAAAGTGAGAAACATAATAAGTATACCGATTTTTTTGCTACAGAAAATACTAAAAACACTAAATATTTATTTTCCATCATAATGTATGTGTTTTAATTATATTTTCTTTACAAGAAACCAGAAACTTATCTAATCTTTCGATAATACACTGAAAAACTGGCATCAACGATGATTTTTTTTTAATTTTGAAAAAAAAAGAGAAATACATTAACCCCCCTTGAATTCCTGTGAGGGGGAGGGGTTGGGTAGGTATAGCACAGTTTATACCTTCGAATGGTCATTTCTATTAAGTAAAGGTCTTATAGAAATGTTAATAATAGTATACTGGATCAATGGTAGTTTTATTACCTCCTTTTAAATATTCTGTAGATTTCAATTTACTTTATTTTACATATATGGGCAGATCACTCTGACTGCATAAAAATACTGTCCTTCTTGATATACTTTATTTTGACAAATAGATAGTCATGTTGTATATTTGTCAAAATAAAGTATATCAGGAAGGACAATACCACAAAATTAGAGCTCTTTAGTGTGTAGTGTATAGAGGAACCTTAAGTAAGAATATGTATTTTTTAAACAAAATCGTTATCTGATTGAGCAATATTAGTATTATATTATTGTAATAATATTAACGATATAATTTTCACTCTTTAATTTTGAATATTTTCATAATTAATTGAGCAACTCGCAACGCAGTTCTAACCTTAAAATAAAATTGTCCTTGTCTCTCGTGTCGCAGCTGAAGTGCAGTGTGGTTCTATTCATTGTGATAAAGTACATATCGTATTTTGTAAATGATAACCGCCAGGCTCCCTGTATTGTCGTCTGCCACATGAGTCTGATGGTTGGAGGGAACCGACACGTCTTTTCTGTAGAAAGTATATATGTTATAGTAGATGCTAGCATGAAATATATCTATTATACATGTAAATGCTCTTATTAAATTTATTTGGTTTCATACAATAAATTTTATGCATCTTTAATAATAAGGATTATGTCGACCAATATCCATAACGATCTCTTGAAAAGTCTAGTGTACGATGATACCCACTGGTGAATATATTTTTACATTATTTTTTTTTAATTTTGAGTTTTCAACATGCATTGTGACACTAAGATACATGTGCGGATCTAGAAGGGGGGGGGTTGCGGGGCGTCCACCCCCCACCCCCCCTTGAAATTTGCTAAGTTATTAAAAGTATATACTGAAGCACAGAAAAAATTACTTTGGAGCCATCCTCCCCCCGAAAACGTGGACCCCACCACCACGAAATAGGATTTTTACACGTTTGAGAAATGCATGGACTTTACGGGGTTTTTTTTGTTTTTGTCTTTCATTTTGTTTGTTTGTTTTGTTTGGTTTTTCTTTTTGTATTCTTTTTCCTGTCAAGAAATTTTCTGGGTTTGATACGTTTTGAAAAAGGAGTTTAGATTTTTGTTTTGTTTTTTTGTTTTTGCTTGTCAAGAAATTTCTGGGTTGAAATTTTTTGACTGAGGTGCCCCCCCCCCCCCCCCGGGAAAAAATTCTGGATCCGCGCTTGAGATAAATTGTGACTATTCTAATAAATGATGCTTACTTGCCCTATGTACAAAGTACTGTATTTGTGTCTGGACTCCGTTACACATATTGTTGATACTTGGAGTCACCAAAGCGGGTACCAAAACGGGGGCCATTAAAGGGTGGCCAGCTGCTTTTTCTGCAACAAAGTGAGTAAGCAAAATTAATTTGATTGAATATCATTATCTTTATCGAACCAAAGGTTTGGTTGGTCATAGCAGCTGGAAATATTTTTCTTTAGTGCGGAGACAAACCAGATCTTACGTGACAATCTCCATACACTGAAATCAGCCTTGGGTACATCAACAGAAACAAATGCTATACACACTATTCCCTGGGCGTTTTCTTCATTAACCCGAGTTCTGGAACAATTCTCAGAAATATAGGCATTTTGAAGAGCAAATCACAAATCAGTCACTTTTTATCGACACAAACTTAATAAAAGTAAATTGTTAAAAAAGACCTGAGCATGAAGGTTTGGCCTTTAGCCTCCAAACATTTATAGCGTGTCGTCTTCTTTCCTGCTTGTTTAAAAACCAGACTTTTCTTTCTGACCCTTAACACAGATCCAGGCTCGTCCCGGAAGTACCACTTGTCCCGGATGTTTAAAGGAGTGCTGCAGTTAGACCTACAGTCTAAATATAAACAGGACGAAATTAATTTGACCAATCATATAAATAGTTTTTATGGACATTGGACAGTAACTCTATGTGATTCTAAATAAGTTACATGTACCAGAAATTTGAATCAACGTTGCAAACCACATCAAAGAGATCCTGCAAAAGAAAAAAAAAAGAAGCACCAATCGTAGAATCAATGGATGGTCAAGTCGTCTATCAGAATATCATAAAAGTGGTTTGGTCCAACCATACATATTTCAAAAGTAACTTTAAAGAAATAAGAAATAAATAAAGTCATAAAGTCCTATTTTTAAAGCAAACCATTGTTGTAGAGTCCATCCTGTGATATATTTCATAATTCTCTCATCCACACTATACAATGTTACACAATGTATGTTTAGCGGACATTCCAAAAGAAGGAGTCATCATGGGAAACCGGAAACTCAACTTAGTCCTTCTGGGATCAGCATCTTCGCTAGAGATCTTTCCGAGTGTTTTGTACTAATCCAGGCCACTTAGTTGGTGAATTCCATTGTAACAGTTTATGTCCATAATATATGTCGCCTGTATATCTCCTAATCACCCCCTAATTAGAGTTAGCGCCTGACTGATCCAAATGTCATTTTAATACGTTTCAGAAACAAGAAATGTTCTTGCGATTTATTGTGACTATTATTATTTTCACAGGAATAAGTCCACTATTGGTGCTTGGTGAGTATAGAGACTTCGCGAATACAAACACTCTCCAAACCTATATACATTTCGCATTTCTTTCTTTAACCAGTCCAATACATGAAACTATTTCATCCCCTTTAGCATAAATGTGTATATAAATTTCTATCCAGGGGATTGTAATTTGATTGAAATTCCGAATGGGAGATCAAGTTTTCGAATGAAAGGCAGAGCAATATTGTTTACTTGTAATGACGGATTCGTCCTATACGGGGAACCTTACGACAACTGTAAGAATGGTTTCTGGAGCAGACCGCCACCAAGGTGTGTGGGTAAGTACTCTAAGTATACTTTAGATAAGTACTATAACTGTACTTTTTATACTTTAAGAAATCGTGTGAAGTCAGTTAAAGTTAGTTTCACATATATTTTTGAAATTTTGAACAAAAAGTAAGTGTGTAAAGTTTACTCACAAAATCGAAGAATTAAAAAAAAATGGAACAAGGAACTTGAACCAAAAACAAAACACACACACACACACACACACACACACACACACACACACACACACACAGGGAACATGACGAAAGCCACTCGGCACTTACAATATTATTCAATCTTGATGCCCTTAAAAGAATTTTTAGACAGTTATAAAAAAAGACAAGTCATATTTTTTAATAGCGAACACTTCTTTTCACCGTAGGCACAATTTAATTTGCTAAAGAATACACAGGTCTTTGAGTAATATGCAAAAATACTACTCCGTCAAACTGCATACTCCTACCATAATTTTCACAAACACACATTGATAGAATCGTGCCTCCTGGCGGCTAGTAATGACGTGTTGTTCTTTTATTTAAGCATATGGTCATACATCAAGCATTTAATGCTGAGCTGCTATGAGCTACAAAATGTACCCTAGTTATCGAATTTAAGGTGGCTAATTGAAGTCATCATTTATAATTTCTTTTTAATATAATCAATAATTATATTACTAAATTCGAAGTCTTATGTTCAGAAAAGTACATTGATATGTGATATGTGTTATCGTTTTGGATGACAAATCATTTAAAAAATAAAAAAAATAAAAAATCCAACTTTAAATTGGAGCCAATATCATCCTCACAAAAATTTGAAACATGTTAATAACGATTGTCACACAAGGAGTATTTATTTAACATCAATACAAAGCACTACTGACAAAGGAGTCGTGGTTCCACTCTATCTTTGAGTACGGTTCGAAACCATCTGATCTAGTTTATTTTTAAGATAATTTAACTGCGGCAGGAATCAACTCGTATTTTAAGGTCAGACGACAATATCCTCAATAATATATCATTTTCTCCAAGAATTTGTCATTGAAGTACTGCTACTTTAACAAGTTTCCTCACAAAAAAATTGAGGTACCTTACCAGACATTTTTGCAAGATACCAGAGGGTAGTGTTTTCTATATAATCCTAATTGAAATCACTTGAATTGTCAATATCACAATTTTTGTTGTAGTTATTTTCTAAGACGTTTTGAAAACCGTTTAGAAATCATAAGATAATGTTAATATTATGAATAATTCGTGTATTTTACAAGGAGAAACAAAACAGATATTTGAGGAACATGTCGTCAGACCTTAAAAGCATTATAATGGCATACACAGACAAGGCGACCAATAAGCGAACAGAATTATCATCTGTATAAAACCGCCTTTATCTTTGCAATCATCAAACATCATTTCTAAATGCAAGGATTGTATCTTATAATAACAGTATTCAATATTAAATTTATACATTACTGACATTCTATGGGAAAATTTATATAATATACATGTATATGATATACATGTATATATAATTATAAATAGTTATGACGATGGTGTTCGTACTGTACTTTTTAATTGATTATTTGATAATAAAATTGAAACAGGTTTTTGTTAGTATATTAGTATATTTTGTCTTTAATGTCGGTTATATTATCGACTTTTTATTTTATTTTTTCGTATTGAAACACCCTGCAAAATAAAAAAAAAAGATATAGGAATATTTTCTTAAACTACTAACCAGTGGCTGGTGTACCAAATTGATATCCACTTGGGGAAAAATCCGTACATTATAGTATTATAGAGTGTGGTGAAGGTCAATGTTGTTTCCGTCACACCGCAGTAGGACTTGCTAAAAATACCATTATAATCGTAGTTAGTCGTGGATGACTCATCATGGAACTATTTCAAGTCATGTTCTCATATTTATCTTCCCATGCAGTTTTAATGCCCAATAAATCGACAAATTTTGGGACATTTAGTTTTTGGTCTGTCCGTTGTATTCTTGTCTGCAAAAACTTTAACCTTGCCCATATCTTTGTGTACACATATTTTACCTCTTGACCTTGAATTTGGAGTTATAACTATTTTTGCAAAATTTTACTAAACTTGAACATCGGCCAACACTTCTTAATGTTTAGTGCTAGGGCTTTTATATATCTCACAATTTTATTCCTTGCGACAAGATCTTCTCTTTGGTTAAACATATTTGACCTTGACCTTTGACCTACGGTTGGAAACTTGAACTTGTGTCACATGTATATTTCTTTTGACAAGACCTTCCTTTGGGTACATACATTTTTTACTTTCAATCTTGACCTTTGAACTAAACCTACCTTTTAGAAACTTTTAACCATGGTCTTAACTTTTGAACATTTGGTGCTAGGGCTTTTATATTTCACATGTGTGTTTTTTTTAACCTTTTGACCTTGACCTAGAAGTTTGACCTACTTTTGAAAACTTAAACCTATGTCATAACTTTTTAATTGTTGATGCTAGGGCTTTCATATTTCTTTGGGTACTATTTTTTTTTTACCTTTTGACCTTGACCTAGAAGTTTGACCTACTTTTGAAAACTTAAACCTATGCCATTACTTTTTAATTGTTGATGCTAGGGCATTCATATTTCACATGTTTATTTCTTGTGACAAGACCTTCCCTTTGGAACCAACATTTTTGACCTCTCGACTTCGGAGTTTGACTTGCATTTGAGAGACAAACCTTGGCAATATGTCGTACGGGGCATCAGTGGTTCACAAACACATCTTGTTTCATGTATTCAAAGAGGGAAGTTGATATTGATTATAATCTTTTGCAATCTTTAAGGGGAAACGACCATCTAAAATAGGATATCTCAAAATTTGGTTAAATCAATCTTTTCCTCTTATAAAATGCTTATATTTTCTCAAGCTTTGCCCTGTGATATAACTACAATTGTGCAAACATATTCATCTCCATCTTTGTCAAGCAGGAGTCGTTCTCCCTGATGTTTTTATAGAATAATGCCATTAATCAACAGAAGTCAATTAATATTTTCAAAAAATACTGTTTCGTAGCTCCTGGATGTCCACTGATACAAAATATTACCAACGGTGACGTCAGAAGATCGCACACTGGGTCCGTGATAGAGGTCACGTGTAACAATGGAATGACCATACAAGGAGAGGCCCTTCTAACATGTGATGGACAAAATTGGAGCTCATCTATTCCAAAATGTCTAGGTAACGAACACTGAAAAAAAAATAAATAAACAAACGAACAAAACAAAAACAAAAAACCCACAGATTCATGTAAGTGTTATTATCATAATACAGACTTTTAACTGCATATCTGGCAAGTAATATACCATATAACCTCAATTCAAAGATATGAAATATTTTCCATGTATGCCCTGAAATCAGGAAGCTCATGAATTTTATGCAGAACCGTCTGAAGTAGATAGCTGTGATTTTGAATCCAGTAAATTTTGTGGGTGGAGTCAGGACCAAACAGATGATTTTGATTGGACACATCACAGTGGGAATACATCAACAGGAAAAACTGGACCAACCACAGATCACACCCTAGGACCGAATTATACGACAGGTATACTGCATCAATGATAAAAAAAAAACAGAAAAAAAATTAAATCAAAAATTTGGTTTGCAAATGGAGAATTTATCATGTCAAACTAGATTTAGAAAAGAGACACATCTGCGATTTTTTTCCGCCTCCAGTTGTTTTCAAATGGAAGGTTCATCAATTAAATTGAAAAAAAAACTTACATTCAGTACTTGAATAAGAAAAAAAAGATAGAAAATTTTTTTTTCTCTTCGTAGGTCACTATATTTATATCGAGGCATCCACCCCTAGACATCCGGGTGACGTCGCTCGTTTATTATCCCCATGGTATCCCATTGACCGCAGCAATCGATGC